ACATACATGCGTGGTGGTACACTTTTATTATTACATTTAAGTTTCACAAGCAATATATTAATACATCCTCCCTGTGCCTGGGCTGGTTTGGCTCAGCAATTAGGGCATCAGTCTGTGGACCGAAGGTTCTCAGGTTCAATTCCTGGTCAAGGGCACATACCTGGGTTGCAGGTTTAATCCCAGGCCCGGATAGGGGTTATGTGGTAGGCAACCAATCGATATGTCTCTCTCACATAGATGTTTCTCTCTCCCTCCCTCCCTCCCTTCCAGTCTATCTAAAATAACATCGGTGGAAAATATCCTTGATGAGGATTAACAACAACAAAAAAATCCTCTCTATAAAAAGTTTTTAAATTAAAATGTTACAGACAGGACTAGCATCCACCTTGACGGCCACCCTCAAGTCTGCCCTCCTCTCTAGGGAAGATCATAAGGAGCATTTTAGTATTTCAAATTTCAAACTTTTTATGGATTTACACACACACACACACACACACACACACACACACATTCATATAAAAGATTGGTTTTTAACAAACATAAATAGTAGCATGCTGTATGGCTTTTAATACAAATTGTTTCCCTCTTTCCCTCCCCACCCTGGAGGTCTATCCAGGGCTTTACATATAGATCAATTTTGTTCTTTTTGGCTGCTGTGTATTATTCTGTAATATGGATTGTTCCACTATTTGTTTAGCTATTTTTGTATTGATGGATATTAGGCTATTTCTAATAGTTTGCTTTTACAAACAATACTGTAGCAATTTTTTTCACTTGCCTCCTTGTGTACATATTTGAGTATTCTTTTACAGTACATACCAGGAAGCAGAACTGCTTGATCATGAGGATGTGCATTTTTAACTTAATGGAGTTAAAATTATATGTATAATGTTTTCCTTTATTTTGTTGAAAAATCATTTCCTGAATAAAGCAAAGAATTCCAATCACATCCATACAAAAAAAAATACCAACTAAATCATACCAACACTATAACAAGTGTATCATCACTTACTAGTCAATTAAAAAGCAAACTGTCAAGTTTAGAAGACAACAACATAATGGTCAGATAACTCAGATTATACCACACAAGTATGTGAATGGAGTATCTGTGCGTGTAACAGTGAAGTAAAGGGGCCACTTTGGAAACCATTAAGCATGCAGGAAGGATCTGGTTAAATGTAAGGTTTTAAGCAATGTCTCTATTGTTCAAGTTCCCTTCTCTACTGTTTGTGTGCAACTGAGTAAACCACAGTGCAAACTCAAAAACAAACACGTCTGCAACCAGGTCACACCTTGCATTTCTCCAAGGAAGCCTATTTGGTTCTTCTTAGCATGGTCGTGCATGGCATCTGAGAAGGCATCAACTGGCCAGACACTAAGGCACACTAACCATGTCACTTACCAGCAAGCCTCCCAAGACCACCATTGCCAAGCCCAGCATCTTCTTCAATTTCTTCTAACTCCTCTATGTCCAATCCAAGCTGGTGAGGAAAGGAAAACATCACTGGATGTGGATACAAATGCAGGCCATTGCAGAGAGAACCACCATTTCCTAAAGCTCTGGGTCAGGTGTCTGGGTTTATTTGTACTCAGTCCTGTCAGTTCCTGTGCAGCTTCTCTAGCATCGATGCCACCGCAGATGCTGATGACCGTACAAGATGGCATAGCAACAGCTTGTAGAGAAGTGTGGGCGCTCCATGTCCATTACTGACTCATTACTTCTTAGTGAGGTGATCCTGGACAAGCTACTAAATCTCTCTATGCCTCCTTTCTCTTATTTAAAAGGTAAGTCCTGCCTGGCCAGTGTGGCTCAGTGGTTGAGTGTTGACCCATGCACTAAGAGGTCACAGGTTCAAATCCTGGTCAGGGCATATGCCCAGGTTGTGAGCCCAATCTCCAGTGGGAAGCATGCAGGAGGTGGCCAATCGATGTTCTCTCTTATCGATGTTTCTATCTCTCTCTCCCTCTCCCTTCCACTCTCTCTAAAAAAAATCAATAAAGAAAAATAATAAAATATAAAAATAAAAGATAAGTCTGGCTCAGCGGTAGAGCGTCAGCCTGCAGACCAGAGTCATGGGTTTGATTCCAATCAAGGGCACGTGCCTCAGTGTCGGTTTGATCCCCAGCCCTGGTCAGGGTCATGTGGTAGGCAACCAACTGGTGTGACTCTCTCACATCTCTCCTCTGTCTCCCCCCACCCCACAACTCTATCTGAAAATCAATGGAAAAATATCCTCAGGTGAGGAATAAAAAAAAAAGATGAGTCCTCACTGAATGACAGTATGTACCACATTTAGGGTTGTTGTGAATTAAACGAGATTTTACAAACCATTTAGATTATTCCTGAGCAGATATTCCTCAATAAATGTTAACCTTTGATTATTTCTTAAGATTCTTTTTGTGTGTGTGTACTGTCAGGGTAAAATCTAAGAAACAGTCCAGTACCAAGCTGACACTAACTGGGCTGAAGGATTTAAAAAATTATCAAAAGGTATGAGGTCAAACTTTCCAGGGTGGAGTAAAGTTCATTTTTCAGTACCGAAACATATTTACTCAGTAGGGTCAATGGTTATTAACCCAAAAACCAGTCAGTGAGTCACTGTCCCAGAGACCTGGAGCCAGATAGCAGTCAAGGAAACCTCAGCCCTATGGTCTGGCTCAGTCATTTTTGACCTTCTTCATCTCATGGCACACATAAACTAATTACTAAAATTCTGCAGCACACCAATCTGACAAAAAAATAGGTATAATTTTGACTCATTCACATCGGATGGCTAGTGTGTTGACTGTTACTGTTTTTATTTGACAACCTAAGAGAAAAGAGGTCAGTACCTCTGACTAAATAGTCAGGTACTGCATGTTTTTGAAATTCTTGTGGCACTCGCTGTGCTAGCTGGGTGAGACAAAAACCCTTTAATTCTCTCTGGGTTAGATAAAGGGCTGTGGGAGGCCTAGAGATATTTGTGACCTTGGGGACTGATGCAACTGGTTGCCAGTCAGCTCCCCGCCCCAAGGAACTGGGATTCGCACAGCTAGAGGCCACCAGCACTACTGTGAACTCACGGCAGAATTCCGCAGCCCTGGAGATCACTTTGGACCGTTCATCTCACAGGGAAGAAGTGGATGGCAAATAAAATAAATGACCTGTCCTATGCTGGCTACATAATAATTCAGCCCTTGCTTGGCAAATGATGGTCTGTTGTGAAATGACTGAATTCTTATCTGAAAGTGAGGCAATCCATAAAATGAGATATCGTTTAAAATGGAAACAAAATTTACACATTTTGAAAACAACTGCATCAGAAGCAACCATACTTCAAGCTGATGCCCCAACTCCATGGCCATGAACTTGGATCCCTACATACCCATGTACCAAATATGGCTTTGTCACACAAGTCGTAGTAAGTCAGACTTCTAAGAGTTCATCAATGACTTTGCTTCTGTTCATTGTGGAAGAGACTTTCAAATTTGCTCCCTGGTGTGACTAGAGTTTCCTGGAAGGTCTTTGTGCAAGTCAACCGCTAAGGCTAACATTCAGGACTTTTTAAAGTCTAAAGTAGGACAAAAACCTTGAGCAAATAGACATGGGTCACCTCATCCCACCTGGTTACATGTTAGGCCATGAGCGGTATATTATTTTCAGCTGATATCAGGAAAGGAAGAACAGAAAAGGGGAGGGGAGCTGCAATGGTGCTTTTACAGGAAATACTCGACCTAACTCAGGTGAAGGAAACCAGCCCTGTACAAATAGTTGACCACAGGAGGGGACAACCCCATGAATGCATCTTTGCAAATACCCATTCTTCCTTTCAACCTCATCAAAAAGGTGAAGGACTATTTGTTTTTGGTATTGAGATCCCTGAAGTTCAGGGGAGAAACAGTTAAATATGTTCATAAAAACAAATTAGTATATTTGATTTAAGACCCCAGGCTTTTCATTTGAGGAAAAAGTATATTTTACATGCCATTTGGCAATAGAGAAAGTATGATGATGGAATTTGAAAAGCTTATTCTTTTCACATATTGCCTTGATATACAAATAATAGTCTAACTTTGATTATTTTTCAAAAGTAGATGAATCCTAAAATAAAGCTTGTGATTCTGACTGCAGGGATTTAAGCACTTTTAAAAGGCTTGTTCAAATACTAATTTCTAAGATAAAATTTGCTGGGGAGTATTGTCAGAAGCTTTGATTGCAAAAGAAAATTTCTCATTAGGCAAAACTAGTTCTCTAACTTTGTTTCTCTTAAACCAGAGGTCACCAGTAGTTTATATTTCTAATAGTTTATAATAGCCATGTCTATAGAAGCAATTTTTCACCTTTTTGGAGGGTGGTGGTTACTATCCCAAAGGTTCCTGAATTGAACTTGAAATTAAAGGGGAGAGAATGTACCTGGTAAATGGCCTCGTCACAGGCATTTTGCAGGCCAAGGTTGATCATGGTGTTCTGTAATGTTCGGCCCATGTAAAATTCCAAAGAAAGGTAATAAACCCTCTGAAACAAAGAAAAGAGAGGTCACCTTCACTTTATGAAGCCAACATGAACAGACAAGGTCAAAAATAAAAACAAACAGGCAGGACTACTTTGACACGATTTCAAATGAAATCCCAATGGATGTATGGAGGGCTAAATAAAAGCATTACTGACAACTGGCTTTGGGAAAACCTTTTTATATCCTATTTTTGGAAAAGTAGTTCAGTGTCTTTCACCCCCAGGGAGAAAAAAGTAAACTCATTCAACTAATTAGATTCAATGTTTTGTGTGTGTGTGTGTGTTTTTCCTTTCTATTCATGAGCCTCATAAATTAAGCATATGTTTTAGACACATAGAAGTCAGACTGCCATAGCTCACCATATACCCAATGACTAGAAAGTATTCCTGACTGATTACTGTAAATAATATTATAATTACGTATTTTAGAATTAAATTATTCTAGAAAGTCATGAACTGGCAATAACAAGAGACTATCTTAGGTTTATTTTTTTATTTTTTATTTTTATAGGGTAGAGCATAAACACAGGCCCCCACTACCACCGATTATGCAGTAGAGTTTCCCTCATTTGGAGAAATTGCAGTGGTCAGCACACCCAAAGTGCTATGGATAAGCCGCTCCCTGAGAAAACCACCTTCATGATCATGGTCTCTCCTCTGTCGGGTAGGTATTGGTGTTTGTTCTTGACAAAATGGGAAATTTCTCTACCAACTTAAAAACTGCCTTTGAGCCAGCTGGTGTGGCTCAGTGGATTGAGCGTTGTCCCATGACTGAGAGGTCTCCGTTTGATTCCCGGTCAGGGCACATGCCCAGGTTGCAGGCTCGATCTCCAGTAAGGGGCATGCAGGAGGTGCCAAATGATGTTCTCTCTCACATGGATGTTTCTATCTCTCTCTCCCTTCCCCTCGCTCTAAAAAAATCATTAAAGACATATTTTAAAAAACAAAACAAAAACACAAACTGCCTTTGACATAATAAAAACCAGGTAAATACTATCAGAGTTGAATGAAAGGTACAAAGGTCAGACTTGCCTAAAACCTTTTAAAATCCAAGTGCAGTTTACTAATTTATTTTAAAAAAAGAGATCAGTGAGTAACTTCATCATCCCCTTTTACAATATCTTTTTCTCCATATCAGTTCCTCTTTTCTTTTGCAACAAACCCCAAACAACAAAAACCTGTATATGTTTCAATATAAAGTAGCCTACAATTTTAAGGATTCCTCCCATTTCTCAATAAAAAGAACCAAAAAGAAAAGTATTTGGTCAACACTCAAATATAAATAAATTATAAATATAGTTCAATATAACATGTCTACTATAACAGTTAACTCACTAGTTATACATATATTTAAAATATTATATGAAAATGTCAATTTAGAAATTTCACCCCCCCTTTTCATTTTATGCAACAATTGAATTCTTAGTCTTCACATAAATTGTTAACATCCATATTTCGTGCATCATCTAACACTATTTTCCAGAGCACATCATTATTTTTACCCAAGTTGTTTGAATATCTATAATGCTGTCATCAGGGCCCTCATCAGTCTATTAGGGGGCCTTTGTGTGAGTTGGGAAAAGGTATCTTTCCTGGGCAGATACAGGCCAAAGGGGTTCATGGCACCACTCACCCCCATAGCTGATGCCCTTACACATAGCCACTGACTGTGTCACAGGAGAGCATATCTCAAGCCACAAATACCATTTGCATAACATCAAGGCAGTTTCTTTTTCTTCATTTTTCTCTGTATTTCTATGACCTCTATAATATAACCACTATGTACTGCTTTTTACTTTTTTAGGGATCTATAAAAAGCTTGCTTATAAATATAGTAAATATATCTCACACTTGCGGTTGTGAAGTTATGCTCCCAGGAATAATGACTATATTTGTTACATTTCTTTGACTCCCTTTTAAGGATTCTAATTTAGCATGGATTTAAGACCTTTTAAGGTATTCCAAGGTCTTTGTAAAATGCTGTTGCTTAAAATAATTTAAAGAAACTTTGTTATATGACAGATTATATAAAGACATGTATTTAAGGTGATTTCCTATTTTCTCATAAAAATAATTTTTGGGGGGACTTCACTTTATATTTGAGAATATATAAGACCTTGAACAACAGATGTCTCCATCCTCTTAGTGGTCTCTAAACATAATGACATACTCCTGGTAGTAAAGCACACAACATCTCCAATATACCTTAGAAACCATAAGCATTCACTACTGTCGCTAATAATTATGTACATTTTAGAAAAAGTGGACATTTTCAAAAAGCAAACATAAAGAAGAGATATTTAACAATAGCTAATATTTAAAAAATAATTTACATGTTATTTCTAGAATTAATCAAAGGATTTGGGTATTTGTGGGAAGACATACGGAACAGGCAGCAACAAAACAGATTTGCAGGAGAGGTAAGAGTTGAGCATAGAGACACTGGCAAGAAGGCCATTCCAAGGGTGCAGGGAGGGCAGAGGCCCAGATGTGGGAGAACAGGGCAGAGATGGGACAGCACATTGGTGTGATGGGAGAAAAAGGTTAAGTCCAGGAGGGTAATGGGAGATAAGATGGTAAGGACAGGTTCACCTGGACTGAGAAGGCCTTTAAATGCTTGATTAAGGGCTGTGGCAGGCAATGGGAGCCAACAATACCTGAGCAAAGGGCTAGATGTATTGCTTTTGTAAGCTTAATGGAGCTACAATGTATAGAGTGAGCTGGGATTGACAACTCAGATACCTTCAGGAGCCAGGCAGAGGAAATACCTGTGTAATGGAGGTGACCTAAAACAATGAGGACCTGGCCAGTTTGGCTTAGCAGCTAGAGTGTCGGCCAAAGAGTTTCGGGTTTGATTCCAGCCAAGGGCACATACCTCGGTTGCAGTTCGATCCTTGGCCCGGGTCGGGGTAGTGCAGGAGACAATCAATCAATGTGTTTTTCTCACACTGATGGCTCTCTCTCTGTGTCTTTCTCTCTCCCCCTCCATCCCTCTCACTCTATCTGAAAATCAATGGAAAAATATCCTCAGGTGAGGATTAAAAATAAAACAAAAATACCAACAATAAGGAGTACTGAAAATTAAATTACTTAAAGATGTCTCATTGGCCAAACAAAATATGTCTGTTAGCTACACTCAGTTGCACATTGCCAGTTTTACCACTTCTGGGAAGCAAGATAGCCACTCAGAAGTCTATTTCATAGACTACAAGCCAGGGCCTCAATTAGGCAGAGAAATGAGACTGCAAGAGAATAATTTCAACAGAACCTACAGAAATCAATAGCATTTGGCAACCTGATGAGGGGGGAACACAGGAGAAAGTCAAAGACGACACTACAGTTTTGTGTCTGGGTGACTGTCAGGGTGGCAATGCCATTAAAATCAGAAACACAGAAGATGGGGCAGGACTGGGAGGAATAATGATTTGAGGAAATAGGAAGAAACCTAGGTATGTTCACCAAGCACTTAGAAGTGTTGGAATGAAGTTTGAGAAAGAATTCAGACTAGAAACTGTGCAGACTGGGATTCAACTGCACAGTTACTAGAGAACAGGGGATGTGGGAGAGGAACTTGGACGCACTGGCCCTAGTCCTTGCTCTATGGGGCCAGGGACCTCCTTTTCAGGTGAACGAATGACTGTCACAGTGTAGATACTTTATTAATATGTGTGGAATGAATCTTGTTCGCCATTGTATCCCCAGTGTATTACTATCAGAATACCTGGCTTATATCCACACTCAAGCAAGGAAGGGCAGCCTCTGAAGAAACTAGCTAGAGAAGGAAGAAAACAATCAAGTACCAGATAACATACAAGGAGGAGAAAAATACAAGGCGAGTGTGTTTTGTGATGCTTGGTGCTAAATGCTATAGAGGAGTGTGTGTGAGGAGGGGGGCTGGGGGGCAGGGGTTAGAGGTCCTAAAATATGGCTCATCATCTCACTCTCCAGTTTAAAAACTTAAACAAACAAACAAATTCCAATGCAAGAGGCAGTACCCTCATGCAAATAATAATACTAAAAAAATACAGTAAATATATTTATACATAAAGTCTTTTCTAAGGATATAATTTTAGCAGTTGCCCGAATGGGGGCCTAGGCCTCTGGAATGAGGAAGAGTTAAATACTTTCCATTTGGAAGCTGTGTTCCTATTGCGCTTACTGTGAGAATTTACTTCCTTTTACTCCGGGTTCTTATTTTTCTTTGAGCACCATGATTACACACTATCCTTTTATTTTTCATGCTTTTTACATATTAAAAAAATGTCTAATGTATGTCTCACGGTCTCCAGGATATATTAGTCTTTCGCCTTTTCTAGTATGATTCCAACCAACCTTTTCAGTTTTCTTCTCCCAACACTGACTCATACCCACCTCACTGCAGCAGCCAGAACTGCTCCCCAACCCAGACTCTGCACAATACAACTGTACCCTCTCCCCGCTGTCCTCAGTCCTGGTCGCCCCACCTTCCCAGATAGACCGGGGCGGGGGGCAGTGTCCCTTTTTGCGCCCCCAAACACTCTAAGTAACCCTCCATCCAGCCCCTGTCCAGTGGCCAGGGGTCGTCTGTGAACAGCCCTTCCCCACCCCCAAACCTCTCCCGCCCCAGCGCCTACTGCCATTTGGGGAACTCTAGATACTTGTCTCCCGTCCCAAAATATTAAGCTTCTCCAGGCAGGGCTTTTGTCCATTTTGTTTGGGCCTACTGCCAGGGGCCTACAGCTGTGCTTGGCGTACTGACAGGAGGCACCGACACCTCTGGATTCAATGTTGGGGGTAAATGCTCCAAAATCCGTTTGTGAAACAGTGGTCAGTCAGGAGAGGGCGGCTCGAGCGTGTGTCACCAGGCGGTCCCCGGGGGCGCACTGCCCTGCGTGGGGCCGGTGGGCAGCGTGAATGGGGGCTGGGGGGCGCCGGGCCGTCCCCGGGGCGGCCCACCCACCGCCCAGACACGTCTCCCTGCCTTCGAGGAGCGATTCCCCGCACAGGGGAAAGAAGGCGGGGGGTGGGGGCCCCCCGGGGCCGGGCGGTACCTTGGGGCACTTCTCGTAGTAGTACTGCTGCGTGCGGATCCAGCGCCCCACCAGGTGGTCGCGCACGGTGTGCGCCAGCGCGAAGAAGTAGTCGCGGGGGGTGGCCACATTGCGGTCCTTGACCAGCGTGAAGTGCAGGTGCCGGTTGAAGCCCTTCTTCAGCTCGGCCACGTTCTCCACGCCCACGATCCCGCGGATGCTGATCTGCCGCCGCTTCTCCTGGTCGGTCAGGGGCCTGGCCATGGCGGCGGCGGCGCAGCGAGCGGGACGTGCGGCCCGAGGAGCCCGGCGGCAGGACGCGGTGGAGGCGGCTCCGCAGCTTCCGCCGCCGCTGCTTTTCAGTCGTCGGCAAGTTCGGGGTCCGCCCCTGGGCGCGGCGCCGCCCCCGCTGCAGCTCTCCGGCCGGGGTGGCGGAGGGCGAGCCAGGCCCCTTCCAGGGCTCTGGGGCCGCAATGCGGACGCGCGCCTGGGGGGCCCCCTGCCGGCGAGAGTGCGCGCCCGACGCGCCGGATGGGGCGGGGCTGGGGCGGGAGGGGCCCGCCGCCCCGCCGAGGCTTCGTGGCTGTGGAAGGAGGGTCCTGCGGCGGGTCACGTAGCCACTCAGGCTCCCCTCGGGGTGTGCGGACTCGGAGTGCAGTGTCT